GTGCATAGTTACGATATATATTTATCGATTTATTTATTTTGCGATTTAGCTTGAAGCAGTGCGTCGTAATTTATGGTTTTAGACGTACACTCTTCCCCCCCCCCCTCCCCTCGCCGTGAGCATTGTGAGGGCAACAGGCTTATATATTTGCCGCAGGGCGTAAATTACCATTCGCGTTTGTAATTAATTACCGGCGGGCCCGGCAAGCGCGGGAGACGATCGATTATTCCGCGCTGATGCGCTCCGACACTTTATCGCCCCGACACTTTTCCAGCCGCGTCGGCACGACCGTCTTAATTAGAGAATCGACGGAATAGTCGTTGAAGCGAGTCAAGCCTCCTTCTCAAGAGCTTTATGCGTATCCATGAATTCCCCCCTCAAACAAAATCCTGCCTAACGGCGTGAAAAGGATAGATGTTATCAATGATGCTCATTTTAAGTGACTGCATTACTCTATAATTGTTACAATTGACAAAAAGCTTCCTTTGCTCATTTTTATTAATAATAAAATCAAATATTAGCAGATTTTATACTGTGCACATTTCAATATTTATGTACAGTTCAATGTACATTTTTATGTAATATTATTGTAAAATATTAAACAAAAGATAATAAATTATATTAATTTAAAAAATGCTTTTAAAAAAATAAGCAATTAATAGGTGATAATTATAAAAAAATATCAAACATCTGTCCGAACGTTCGAAATATTTCTACAAATATAAAAATTAGAAAATAAATGCTTACGCAATATCGAAAAATGATATAACTAGATATTTCATAAAATAGACAAACAGTTATTGAACACATATATGTATAATAATAACTATTCCACGCTTAAAAAAGGCATGAAAGATCGATACTCGAATGTATCGAAAGTATTGTTGACGCTTTTCCGCAATGCTGATTAGTTATCTCGATTATTCTGACAGTTTGATAGTTTGAGAGCGAAGGTTATTTTGACGGTTATTTAAAATAAAAAAATTTATTAAAATATTTAGATTTCATAATTATTGAATTACTATAATAAGTGCGCGCGCGTAGCGCGCGCCTGTATTGTTCTAGTCTTCTAAATAAAAAAAAAGATAATCCAATAAATGTTAAATGTCCAATAATATTAATTTGACCATTTTTCATCTCAAATAATGTTATTTCTTACAATAGAATTATATGTATTGTATTGACATTAAATGACATTAAAATTAGCAGGCAAATTATTAGAGTAACAATATTTATGTTAGGTTAGGTTACTGTTATACAATCTCTGTAACGTCTGACGTGTTAAATATGATATCCTACATTGGACGATGGCAATAAATCACAGAAATCAAGGATATAATTCAATAATAACGCTAAGATGACCGGCAGCAAGGAACTAGAAACCGTGTCGGCCTGCTGCACGCGCGTTACCTATGACCCTGTTTCTGCAACATGTCCGTTCCGCAGTTAGAATTTCAACGTATATCCCATATTATATCAAACTGATATAGAACTACTGTCAACACTTTGAACGTGCGAATCCTGAACTTAACCCCCTAAATCCTAAACCCTACGCTAACTTCGAACTTTGATAACTTTATATAAAAATGACAAATAAGTTGAAGAGTGCCATTTTTGCAGAATTTTATATATTTTACGAGTATATGTAGGCTTAAGGATAAAGTTTATGATTTTCTAATTAAATCTCGGACAACCTAATGTTTAAAATCTCCGATAAAAGCATGTTTACATTAAGTTATACTTGTTTATATTCTTTCCATCTTCTTTAATTTTTCGAATAAACAAATATGTATAAATATAATAATTTTTATTTATTTTTGTATAGAACAAATACTCGACCAAACAGCAAAAATTCAACAAACAACTACTCTAGTGTGGTTCTGATGGAAGCTAAATACGTTGGTGTAATAATAATCCTATGCGTTGATTAGTACAATGAAGAACTTAATTAACGCGTAATCGGAGTTTATTCGTGCTTTGTGTGTATTATCCAACACATAATTAATTAAAGTCGTTGTTACGACTAATAAATGTTATATCAAATTCCGTTTGATTAAATCGTAAATGAAAATTCGAACACAAGCCTACAACACCCTGTTTTTGTATTTCGGTTGCACACGCGTGTATCATCAATATTCCGTTGAAACCAATTAGTATCGTTGAAATCGAGAATATGAAATTACTGACGAAATGATTAAAAGACATAATTGGCTATACGATACTTGAAATAGAAAAGAAGCACAAAAGAATTTCTGAGAATTAATTTAACTCACCGCTATTTTTGATAGCATAATACAACATAAATCTAACGATATAAAAATATAATTAAGCTAAGCTTAATTATATTTTTATACAACGCGACATATTACAAAAATGTTTACAAAATGTCTCAGAATTCGCAAAATATTTTGGAACAAAGGAAAAATTAAATCTAAACTTACTGTGAAATTTACAATGAATTGCGCTCTTTGGATTTGCGCTGTTTATAAATACATTCAGTTTATATTGCACGCCCACCTGCTCCAAAGGGGCATAATTTGCACTGTTTGACTTTGTTATTATTCCGACCAAACGTATAGTCATCTTGCCAAATGCATTCACGAAACATGTGGTTTCAAAGGAATCCCGGATAACTCGATTTTACGAGAATGCTAAGCTCTGTGAGTAATGCGATTCAAAGCATATTCTAAAATATCAACGGTAAGTGAATGTAAGTTCATCAGAGCATGGTTTGCACAGCGGTTTGCACGTTACATTTTGAGTTCGATTATGTCCAAATCCAGTAATGTATTCACTAATGTATGTCCGTTGAATACCTCCCGTAGCGATGGACATCAATTATCATTTACGCTAATGAAATTAAGCATCGAATGCTTCAAATATAGCTCAATTATATAGGCAGAGAGATCTATTGATATTCTACATTATTAATATTATTAAAATGTTTGTACGATAAAAAAGAAAAAAAAAATGTATAATTCTTTTTCTTAATTAAATTATTTATTGCTAATACTTTTCCAATTAAGAAAGAAAAATCGTCACCGAATCTCGGAATCTAGTTCCAGCGATCAGATTGTGTTACTTAGAATTAGAGGTAAGAAATTGCTACGAGGTTTAAAAATATACTTACATTGTTTCTGTCCATCTTCTCTGAGAATGATATTGCGGCCGTCTTCTCGTTTCCAAGTGACAGTAGGCTTCGGCGAACCGGTAGCGACGCATCGCAGCCTTATATTGCCTCCCTCGTGGGTGACCATACCATCTGCGGACTCGTCATCCATTATGTCGGGCGGTATCACTACTTCCATGTATCCCATCTGGAACAAGGAAACATAAGATTCTCGTGAAACTTCGTACTTTCGAGGTTCAGATTTTATCACGGATTTAACTTTCGCAAAAGAAAAAACAGATTCAATAAGCGCTGTAAAAAATTGATACTTAGCTTAAAGCAAATGTTGTCTTAAATTTCTAACAAGATACTATATAATTTATTCTCTAATTTAAATAAAATAAGATCAATCCTTCATTTTTCTATACTTTTTAGAATTACTCTAATTATTATCAAGCTACAATTTGATATGATAAAATATTACGAAAAATTTTCGATTATTGCGTTTCTTTTGTAACAATATCTGAATCGTTTCATTATTAAAATTGTTGATAGCAAAAGAATACAAACTAATTAATTCGATTTCGATTACTAAGAACAAACATAAAAAAATTAAAAAAAAATTTTTTTTTTAGAAAAGTAAACAGCCCGTAGAACAACTGCGTTAAGGTGGTCTGACAAAGACAAGGCTTGAACTACTCACTATAGAAAAAGTACATTGTTTTACGGTCCTGAGCACGTACACGATGAGGGTATCCTTGCACGGGTATAATGTGTGGGAGTATAGAATTTACTGAACACTGGAACGGTGCACGTATCCTATTCAATTCAATGAAACCAACATGCACAAGAAAATATAAGATAAAACGAGATAAACACCAGCTTGAATTTGCTCCAAATTTCTTTATCATTCGAGCCTTCATTATTTGTTTTATTTAATAGTCATGTTTGCTTATGTTTTACTGTACATTTATCAGAATAAATTCGTATTATATTTGACGCGATATTTTAATATTGTAGTAAAATATTTAAATTCTGCAGTTAACAATGTTAATGATAATAATAATATAGTATGAAACTGCGCGAAACGTAAAATTTGAATATTTTATTATGAATAAATGTAGGCGCAGATAAAAAAAAATACAATTTCCTGATAATTGATAAAAGCTAAACTTCAGCTGTGTTTAATTAAAATAAAAATGTATTATTTTAAATCATTTTAGATTATATTTTCAGTCATAAAATAACAGTGTAAAAACAAAAATATGCTTGTTAAATATACTACAGTAATTACAAAAAAAACTTTTTTATTGCAAAGATACAAAAGAGAGAGAGAATAAAAGTATATTTTTATTAAATTTAATTATGTACAAAGTTATATTAATATAAAAATTAATAAATCAGAAAAATGTTGAATATTACAAATCTACAATATTTTTGCAGGGTTTGAGCTTTAAATACATAAATAATAAAATCTATACAACGACTTTATAGAAAACTTTACACAAAAGCAACTTTAAAGCTTATGCAAAACTTGACCTAAGATTCTTATAAAAGCAAAGTAATTTAATCTTACAAAATCCAAACAGAGTTGAAATAATTCATAAGAATAAATATCAAGAATTATTATTCTTAAGGAGTAACGAAATAAGCCGATGGCCGCAGGACCGAATAATGTTTATATTGCAGCTGACATCTTTACGTTCAGCATTAACTTCGTCATTGTCAGGTCGAAAATATTGGATCGCGTTGGCACGAAACGTCAGTCGACATAAACCGTGTTAAAGTGTTTCATGGCGTAAAAAGGCCGTCGTTTATGGCCTTGGGGCACGTAAGTAGAGCTCCACACGTGAAGCAAGGATGACGTTCGCCGGTGTGTCACAGGTTAACGTGTGTGCAGATGGAATTTACTGGTCGTGGTGCGGTGCACATGTCCCGTGGAATTCAATGCGACCGGCAGAGCGGGAAACCTTCCGATGCAATATACGGCCCTCCCGCGAGATAAAGGACCCGGAATGCTGGTCGTGGTGCAAGCGAAACGAACGACAGATGTGGGTGTGATAACACATGCGCGAGAAAAGAAAAGAAGATAGAAAAGATAGAAGACGGTCAGAAAAATAAGAGGGAGAGAGATATCTGTGAGATCAAAATTTTCTCTTAAAACAAACTAAATATTATGCAAAGAATTTAGTGATTTATTTCGTGGAATGTGTAGATTTAATATATATTGTTGCCAAGAGTGTAAAGTATCTAATTAATTAATTTTCCCACAATTACTTTTTACTAATTAATTTCACTTTCCCAAAAATTTTGTTAACGATATTGAAACACTTGTAAATTGTAGTTTAAATTAATTATAATATTTTAATCAATAATAATTTTTTTATTACATCCTCTTACTGTATCTTCTTGCATCGCTGTTACTTTGCAAAAGAATGTAGTAACCGGCCAGACAGTTAAAGAGAATGCGCATTATTCGAGCGGATAAAACCGCGATATAAGTACAGACGATAAATAATTTCGTGTTGGTCGGCTGCGAGACGGTGCAATACTCGGCTCGGGATTTAAGGCGCGACAGGATATTTCGTGCGGCCGGGGTCCGCACGAAGCCGAGATCCTCGTCGGGAAAACAGTCGGCCGAAGCAGTACGACGTGCGCACCTGCCGCACCGCCGCCGGCAATAATTTTCTGCGCGCTTTCCCGAACGCGCGGCTCGCCTTGCCGAAAATCTGCATAATTAAAGTTGCACGGCATGACGTCGCGTCGCGAGGACTTTGTTTCCTTACGACTTCACCAGCGGCGAATCTACCCTCTCCCTTTTGCGCAAATATTGTATGTTTATCATTGAACTGGTCTCAAAGCTGAGCGGTATGTTGATAAAACTTACAAGGTGAGTAACAGTGGATGGAAACTTAAAACTTTAGTTTTCAGAATGTAGTGATACGATAGCTAAGTTTATTTAACAAAAACAATTTGTTAAAATTATTTTCTAAAACTCGATGGTAAAATAAAATTTAAGAGCCTGTAAGAATAAAGTGCAGTTTAATTTTAACGATGCGATTTTCTACTTCAAATAAAATAAAATACTCCCCGCTTTTTATACGTCAGCTCTGCAGCTACAACAGTAGGCCGATATTACAGCCGATATTACACCGCGAAATAATGGTCGGGCTAAAGAAAAAGCGCGCGTTAAAAAGTTATGGCCGGGTTTGTGTATGGAATTTTAAAAATTCCGCCGCGTCCGCGGACAGATCCGACGAAATTGCGCGAAACCTCGATCTTTTTAATCGAATTACGTCGCGCAACACGGAGCTCTGTCGATGGAAATCGATAGAGCCGTTTGTATAACGGCCGCCGTGCGCGCGATTCCAACGCGGAAACGCCGACGAAAAATAAAGCGTCGGGTGGAAGGTAAATGGAAATTAATTTAACAGAGATACGTTGTTATTGCGGATGCGCGTCGCAACGCGTTTCAGTGTACCAGATAATACTGTTTGAAGCTGCGTTTGTGGTATTTCAAAAAATGCGGGTACCCATATCATTAAAAAAAATGGAAAAAAAGAAGAAATATATATAAATATAAAGATACAAAAAAAGTCGCGTCATTACAAAATATAAAATTTTTATATAAAAAGATATACAACATTTGATGTACTACGTAGTGCGCCATTTGACGAAAGATCGAGGTTTCGCAATATTTCAAAATTTGTGAATTGATCATCAAGTTCATTGCTGCTTACCTGACTGCGCATTGGGTCGGTATTGACTTGACACATGTAAGTACCGGAATCGTTCTTCTGGACATTCGACACGTGTAGTTTCCACGTGTTGTGTCCGTTGTGCGTGACGGATAATCGATTATTGTGCGCTACCATGTGCGTATGTATCGCCAAAATTGCTCGGGAATCCGACTTTATCCAGGCTACCTGGAACACCGGAGGAGAGAATCGATGTTATTTCTCAAGACAAAGATAAACAGAAAGTTTGCTAATCAAATACTTCGCTAATAAGAACATAAATTGCAGTTTGAAAGTCTGATCAGAAAGAACATATATTTAGTACATTAAATATTTTATTTTATATTACTAATATAAAATTAAATTAATATTTAAATTAGACACATTGATGAAATTTTCACGATAAATAATTAAAAAGCCTGCCAAAAATAGAATTATTTAACTTTAATAAAGCAGTGTAAATTTGATGAGACCTAAAATTAGTTTAGTAAAAAGTTCAAAATTTGCATCAATATTTGCAGTGATCGCAGATAAATATAGTCAGACTGAAGGAAGGAAATATCAATTACGTAAAGCTGAGCGTGCATTTCAAGGAAATATAAATTTAGATTGTGTCGCGTTAACAGTTATGATTTTTACATCTTGCTTCTGCAAAAATACACGGTGGCAGTTTTCGGAAACTGTGTCATTTATTATATATTTATTATATACTTGCGAAAGTCTCGGAGAGAGACGTTGTCGCATCTCTTGATACTCAATGTAAGTTTTATAACGGGCAATCTTCTTAATGTTCAACGTGCCGAGCGAAACTTTTTTAACACGTTTTATAACAATACATAAACAAGAATTGCTTGAAAGAGGAAATTGTATACCTTGTACGTCGATAAATGATTAACGACGCAGGTGAAGAAGACGTCGCGACCTTGGATCACCGTGTGATTTTCCAAAGGAGCTAAGAACTCGGGCAAAACTTCCGGGCTTTTGTTTTGGCCTGAAACATTAAAGTGATACAAACACGTTTAATTATTTCGCCGTGACACAAAGTGTCGAAATAAGATAAGAATCATAGATACGAAAAAATTATTTTTCATACATCATATGATAAAAGCAGAACCTTCGCCTAAAGTATAAAAAAATTAATAGAAAGACAAGTACGATAAAATAAAAAGCGGAAAGTGTTAGAAACTGTAACAATAAAACAATAAAAAAATATTTGTAAAAAGGTTTACCGTGCTTGTCATCAATTTGCGGGTTTCAATCGTTTGAACACAATAAACGACACAATAAACAAAACAATGCATTTTGCGTAACATCCCGCGCTCTGCCCTTTTCAATTCCCCCGGATATTACGACGATCGCATCGCGCGCATCGCGCTTCGAAAAATGCGATGCGCCGCGAATGTTCAGAGGAAAAAAAAAAAAAAGAGAGAGAGAAAGGAGGAGCGAATGCGTTCGGCATCTCTGACGAGTAGTGTCTCGCGGAATGTACCGCCCCGATTTCGCCGCCGTCGAAGCGCATGCATGAGCGAGCAGCACGCCGTCGATTAGATATTCAAGGCGGAGGTCGAGAGCTGGTAACATCCCCCGCGCGGCTACCCTCCGCCTTACCCCTCTCGCGCCTTTTTCGCCGGCCTGGAAGAGCTGAGAGCCGCCCATATTCTCGTATCGAATTCTTGTATGCGTTCATGCAAGAAGGGCGATAAATGGAAAAATTCTTGAATCTCGCAGTCGTAATCCGGGGACGCCGGGGTCCCGATTTTCATGGGTCGGTTTTACGACTACCCTCGCCGTCCGATCCACCCTCACCGCCCGATCCACCCTCACCGCCCGATCCTCGTCTCTTCAATCTTTTCCCTCGACGCTCCACGATATCGTTACGCTCTCTTTCCCGCCCGACCCTTCCCGGCCTTTTATTAACTACTTAAATTTAATTTTTGCTCCAATGGGAAAAACTGCGAAAGTCTCGATGGAGGAAACATCGTGAACTCATTAAAATTAATAAACCGGTGGAAAAATATAACAGTTGCGTCGCGCGTCGAGTAAAGTATACTTTAATACGAGCTTTCTATCGCCTTAGAATTGCCATATTATCGCTTTTCAGTTATGTGTCACTCTGTTTGCAGGCTATTATCGTTTTTCTTCACTTTTTTTTACAACCTGTTAATTAAATTACTCTTCTCCTTCTTTAATGATAATGTTCTGATATTTTAATAGCAAAATATGCAGCAATAGAAATTTTCATAAAAAAGTAGACTCTAAAAGGACCAGAGCATCCTCATGAAGCTACATTTATCTATTCTATTTTCATTTGGTCCTATTCTTCCTATTTCTTTTGCTCTTTCTTCCTAATGAAAGAATTCTAATTCTGCATTTAATTTTTCATAAAATCTTGCGAGTAGAAAAAGTGTGCGTGCATTTGGTCGGACGAGCGCACGCGTGAATGCAAGGCAGAGAGAAAGGATATAATGCGAGAATAGTGTGCCGCGCTTTTATTGCGTCGGAATTTCATTCTGGGTATAATTGTAATCAGTGAGGTGTAATTCTAGCAATTTGTCGCAGGGATATCTAATTAATTAGGTCCTTTCGCGAGCGGATAGGACCAGCGCTGCGAACGCGCTCGCTCGCGCGCGGTCTGCCATCTCCTCGTTAATTACGCCGTGCGCAGGATGGAATTTTTCATCGAAATTATCACGCACCATCCGCTCAGGAAATTAAGATCGTCGTGATGCTCGCGGCTGCGCTACGCCGGAACCAACTTCGTTTTTTCTTCTCGTTTTACATCGTTCTCTTTACGCTAACATGAAGTAGAATCATGCCGCGGGGTGCCTTCGAATGAAAATATATAGTTACGAGATTCGATATTATACTAGTAGATACTCAACTCTCTATAAATACATTAAAAGTTCATCTTGATCTTTCTGTTTAATTTTACATAACAAAATACAAATAATCAACATCTAAATTATCAAATCGTGTAACTTATTCAATTATTTGTGTCTTTATACGCAATCATCAACTTGCGCTAAGTAAAAATAAACAGAGTTTGTTAATTTGTTTCCTGCGTCGATATTTTTTCGTGTGCAGAAGTGAAAGCCAATAAAACCGTCAGACATTTTTGCCGCGCAGTAAGGCACTCGCGACAGGCGCTAATTTTTCAAACAGCTATGCAGAATCTGAAGGCGACCTTTTGCGAGCGGTATTAAAGGCGATTATAAAAGTCACCGGGCGTCGTCCGCCGTCTAATTTAAAGGACAGGAGGTGGGATCCCCGAGAGCCGTTAGACTGCTCCGACGATAGACTCGAGATGAGCAGTATCCAGTGATACCCACTTTATCCCGGGGAAACGGCGGTAAGCCACCCACACAATGGCAGCCGCGGAGCCGTCCGCCGATTCAAAGAGTTTGGATTTCGCTGGCCTTTCTCCGGGTCTCCATGACCCGAGAGAAATCCTATATCGCGTTGAAATCGCGAATCTAAAATGCGCTCCCCGGCCGACGGTTTCTCGTTCGCGCGCGATAGCGGGATGTTCCCGGACCGAAATGATCATCAGTTCTCGAGAGCCGCGCGGTATGAGAGTTTTCCTATCGCAATGTTACATACGTATCTAAAGGTCGCTTGCGGGAAGGGGGGGAGG